ACTTATTTAAAACTGTACAATCACCAAGTACACAGAGTGAGCGCATGAACCGTTATTCATTTGGCGTCAGTGGCTTCGGCCTTTGGCTCCTGGGGACAAAAACATCAAAGTAGCACGGTTACAGAACATGCGTTGGTACATTGTTACTGTGGTCATCATTACGATTTCATCCATTTGATTATATTTGGTGTATTTTATATTGGTGTCTGGAAGTTTTATTAATTCAGACACAGCTATATATATTATATTATATTATATTAGTTAAACACTTGTGCTTTCAAATTAACAGCTGAAATATAATGAAAGTTTTTAAATTATTGTAATAAAAGGGAAACAAATTCAATATGTTTTACGGGATGCTAGCAGCTACGTCCTGAATCGTACAAATACTGAATTAATTCCTTCATATTAATATTACTTATAATATTCATAACATGTTATTGTCCCCTCGACATTAACGAGACATAACTACATTATAAACAGTGCGTTCTGCGAATATGTCCACATTCATTATTTATTAGCACAAATTATCTGCAATAAAATAAGACACATTATGAAACAGAAACCAACCTCAGCCTTGGTGCTCCCATTTTCAGCTTGTTTGGGCTTCTTTGCTTTGGGTGCCCTCTAAAAAAGAAACGACAAGACACTTGATCAGTAAGAGATTAAAACTTTTCCAGCCAACATACAATGATCACAGGCGTCAGAATGAAGAATAAAATCATGTGTACCAAAAACATCTAAACTGATTCTCAAGTAAGGTATTTTCCCCAGTCGCCTCGGAACGGGGGCAAACTTAATTTCCCTTCAAGGAACTCGAGGCCACGAATCAGTTTCACATGTGACCAACAGAGATGTACTGTTGAGTTATAACGTTTCATCAGTTTCACACCTTTGCAACAGCCTTCTTCTTCTCCACTGCTGCAGGTTTAGGTTTCTGAAAAACAAGATAATATATTCATCAAAGGGCGCCTAACGGTCGATTACACAACAAATTTATACATTGATGTTTTATATTGTAATCACAAAAGAGGATTCAAAAGTTAAGTGTGCAGTTTTGATAAATATATCAGTGTAGCTAGACAGCATGGTGGGGTTATGCATGTTTCAATTTCATGGTTTAGTTAATCCTGTTAGCGGACAACTAACTTTTGGACGAGGAACAAGAATAACGACAAAGCAAAACAGCAGTCTTGATTAACTGCGTTTCTATAAAAGCTCACCTTCGCCAGTCGCTGGGAAGTTCTTCTTTCCTATTGAGATAAGACAACGGAAATCGTCAGTGATAATTCCCGATGTAACTTATGTCAAAATTACTTTAAAAAAAAAAAACTTAAAAAAAGTAAAATTACACTAAAAGGCAGAATTTAACCACAAACTATCAAGCTATTTAAGAAGGTAAAATACAAACCTAAATTACTCTCTGATAACACACAGCTGTACAACACTCTTGCAATAATATCAACATAATACTAAATAAATTGTATAATATTAATTATTTTTTACAAACCTCAGGGGGAGTGCTTTTCTGAAAGACAAAGAAAAGAAAAACAACATTAAAATTTTGAACACCACTATTTAATAAAAAAAAATAAAAAAAAACATGACATCTCATAACAACTCAAAACAAACACTATAATCCCCAAAACCTCTCTCCAAAACATCTCCGCAGACATGATCTTGCACAAGCATAAAAACAAACACAAGACCTGAAGGACTAATTTACAAACTACATTTTTTCCCCTCAACGTTTTCCCGCCTATATTTGAATTCAAATTCGGGCTGTCCTGTCACCATGACAGCGCCTTGGCGCCCTGACAGCTTCCTTTGTTTTGTATCAGTGCGCGCCGACAGACAGCTGTTGGGAAACTGATAAGATTACTACTTTACTAATCTGCAGCTACCGCCATATTATGTATGCAACCAAACGAAGGCCTGCAGAGATTGCACGCCGATTAAAATGACATTTCAGTTGATATTTTTAGGCAGAAATATAAATAAACCCCTCTTGTTTTTGTGGCATTATTTTTTTTTCCCACCAAAATTTGATGTATTTTTTAAAAATACCAAACGCGCTGCTACAGGACGGGAATTTGACACACGCTTTGTTAACTTTAATCCCAATAATTAAACAAATATTCACCACGATAAAACACTTAATATCGCCAACACTTGTTAAATTACTCATAAATGTTACGCAGCGGTGTAATTTACAGCAGTGCCATTTAACGCCATTAATTAAATGTTAAAACTAAACCGAATTTTCAACCTGTTTTGAATCAACATGCAGGAACAAGCCTTGACTTTACTTATTCAAAACAGTGAGAGGAAGAAGAAGGAAAAAAAAAATATCCACCTCCCCTCCCCCAACTCCTTCCTCAAATGTTGCAGGTTGTGTTTGCTTGAACTTATTTTGATTGCTCAATTAAAAAACCCCACAATTCTCCCTTTTTACGTGGTGAATCCAGCTCACGAGTTATGCATTCAGTTACACATTTACAGCGTGTATTGGAGGTTTGTTGTTGCGTTTAACCTGTCAATAGTTCACCTCCTCCTCCTCCTCCAGACCCAGTTAAAGAGGGAAAAGACGCCCAATGGTGGCCAGACATTTTGCAAACGCGCAATATCAACCGTTGCACTTGTCCCAAACACAGCTCTGGCGTCGGGGGACGTGAAAATAAAAAACCACGCACGTTAGCGGCCGAGTTTAACACATTAGGGAGATGTTTTTACGCTTCTAGCCAGAGCATAAAGTGTTTTATTTTCGACGAACGAAGAGGGATGCCTCTCTTGTTTGGGGGACCGCCATGGCTGCTAACGCTCGTTGGGGATGATGACGTTCCTCTGATGCACAAATATCAAACGCATTCTAACGTTCACCTCAACTGACCGTCACGAGCGCGATGCATTTGAGGTTTTTTTTTTTAAGAAAATAAATTAAATTAAAAAAATAAATAGTAATAAAAAAAAAGTCTCTTACCTTCGTTTTAACCATGTTGCTGACGGGAATGAACTGGAAAGCTCACGAAGATATGACCGTAAAAAAAACGGGGCTTTTTTTTTTTTTCTTCTTTTTTCGGAGAGATAACAACACGACAACCGACCAGTTGCTGAGTAAAATGGCGAATGTATAATGCAAACGAATGTTTTTGTAGTTTATACACTGAAATATAAGAACGAAACCGGTTTGAACCAGTTTGGTGTTTCCATGCCTCTCATTGGACGAGAGGGGCGTCACGTGATTACAGGCGCCACCCATTTGTTAAAGAGGCAGGAAGCCGCCTGGGGAAAATACTCGCCGTGGCCGCATGGGGGCGCTGTTTCAAAGGTTTCTCATTAAGTTTGTGATCGGAAATTAAAAAAAAACTGTACTGTTAAAACCACAGACATATGACACAGTTAGTTTATGGAGTATTCATAAGTATAAAAGCCCTGGAGGAATGTAGCATAAACGTAAAAGTACATTTACTCAATTACTGTAAGTGCTTTAACTTGAATATTTCCCTTTTATAATTATTATTTCACAACCACATCGAAGGATATTGTTGGCTACTTTTAGTTAGTTTTCAAATTAAACTTTTTTTTTTTATTCAAGCAGGTGTTATATTGTTTATATAGTTTATATTGTGGTAGAATAAACTGTCCAATAGTGTAAAGTGTATATATACATACATATATATAATTTAAACTATTTTATATTTTTAAAAAAGTAGTTAAAATGAGCTCCACCTTGACAACATTAAACTGCTACTTATTTGTTAATACATATATACATATAGTATTAGGGGCTGCAGTGGCTGTCTGTAGGAACTTGGCTTGGGAACCGGAGGGT